TAGAATTTTGTATCCTAAATGTACACGTGTTCTACAATTGTAACAAGTTTTAACGCAGTCAAATCACAACTCTAGGTGGAGTGACATTTTGAAAGATTTTCACACATAATCTTTTTTATTAGCTATGGCAATTAACACCAACAAGTAGTCTACAGGTGTACCAAGGTTTTTTTTTTAATATCAGACCCAAAATGTTGGTAGATCGAGTAGCGACTCTAAAGAATTCCGTTCATTCTATTTTTAGTAACTATTGCAACCAATTAGAACTGATATTCGGTACTATAGTGTAGTATACATGTGTCCAAAGTATTACAGAAATCAGAACGATATTGTAGGGGGGGGGGGGTAGCGTTTTTAAAGAATTTCACAGAAAGTTCTATTTTTCGTAAGCATGACAATAACATTGGTCGAAATCGAAAACCCTTTCAGAATTCTGTATCTTAGTATATTTTACTAGTGTACTTAGTGATAACGAAATCAGATCAAAAGAGTAACTAACTGAAAGAATTTTAAAAGAAAATTCTATTCATTAACCATGACAACAACTTTCATTAAAATCAAAAACCGATCTGATCTTAGTGTAGTGTACTTGTGTACCAAGTTTTGTTTAAATGTGACCAAAACTGAATCATTTTAAAAAATCGCTTACCGTCAAACAGACAGAAGGATACAGACACCTTAGCATCCATTAAGCTCTTCTGTAACCAATAGAGCTGGAAAACAAACGTTTTCCTTTTTCTGAATCAATTAACATCGTTTTAAATTGAATTAAAATAATTTTTTTCCTTAAAATTGCAGCACAAATTGAAACCAAAGTTCTAAACCCTGCAATTTTATCATTTTTCCGGTTTATTTGTCTAACGTGTCTTGATTGCAAGTTCCAGTCGAGACAGCTTCCAGAATTTCTTCTTTATTAAGTAATCGAAAGCTTCAAATTGGTCTCTTTTTTCGTTACCAGTAATGAAGTACCATCGTACCATTTTCCCAATCTAAGTAAGGAAAGACCCGTATTTTTCATTAGCATGTGTCCAACTTTAAAGAAAAATGGAACTATAATTATCGTACTAATTAAATCCCTTGATTAGTGTGGTTAGTTATATATCGCTAGAGGTGATGGAAAAAATTAAAAATAATAGCAAAATTTAAGATTATTGAAATTCACCATTCAGATGCATGTACTTGAGTGAGAATGATCATATAAGCATCTATACATTAATAGTGCTTAAGCTAACTACTCATGAAACTGCATCTCGGCCGTGCAAACTATACAAAAACTGAATTGAAACATACAGTCACAGTGTAAAGTGACAATTCGAGAGGCATTTGATGCAGACCAATTGCAGTCTTTTTCTAATTAAGCGGGAACAACATCTCTACGTGTTCACGTTGCCTTGAACATCCATTGCTTAGTTTGTCATACTCAAGAATTTAAGAGCATTCCTGAAAAAACAGTCATGTCAAGGGTTTCTTTGTAGATATGAACATCTATGTTTTTGTAACACTTCCAAGACAGTTAAGATTTTACATGCGCTGGGTCAATTCGTCGAGTAATTTATTGTAAAAGAAAAGTATCGGTCATATATACATTTAGTAAAAGTAAGTCGAAAAAAAAAATATCATGGAGCATAATCAAGACCTAACTACATGTAGGTGGTTGTAGAGATAGTTAAGGGTCTTACAAACAGAAAGTAACTATTCTATTGGAATGTGTTGTCATTACAAGGAAGCATGACAATGCTCTCAACTGGACAATCCTTCTGATACTAAAAACAACAGTGAACAACCATCCAATACAATTCTATCGCTACAGCAGATTCCTTAATACCTTTTTCCCAATCTGTCAATTAACATCCGAGGTGATATGGAAAAATTTAATCTTTCTTTTTGTGTCTAGGATTAATATCTCGCGTTTCGTGAGGGATTAGCAAATAAAGTTTTCCTCTGTTATGGAAAGCAATTATTTGATGGACTTTTTGTCGTGCGCTGTACACTTATTCCATTTAGCATCTTACTCTGCAAAGCAGCAATATTTCCGATCGGGCCTAATCATGTCAATTAAGAATTCGTTAGTGAAAATGTACGCGCGTTATTTCAGTCAACAGGACAGCTTAGATCCTTGTTAATCAATAAGAAGGCGAGAAGAAGATCTTGTTTGTCAAATCAAAGTGACATCAATTGCTTGATCTTATTGATTCATAACGGGTGAAACAGAAATTGCAGCCAACCAGAGACCATACTTTTCTTAGAAATGTCGCTCCAAGTTGACACGGAGTATCCGTTTTGGTCGCTGAGGACACAAAAATGATTCGGGTCTCTATCATCTCAAAAAGTTGATTAACCAGATTTTTCCATTAAGCATGTGTAACCAGCATGCTTTATCAATGTTAATTACACTAAAACAGGAATTATACCCATGGTACAAGCCTCTATGTAGCATTGGGTGTTAGATGCAATGTACAGAATTAAGAGCCCGGAAATCTGTAATAAATAAAAGTTTATGCAACTAGACAGTCCTTGAGACATGTACTTAATTTAATTTTCAAATAAAATTCAGTAAACAACACTTGTACTAATGATAGTAGGATTTATAGTCGTAGGAATAAAAGAAACGTGATTGAGCAGTATTTTCGACATTTGCATGCGTTCCCATTCAATATCACCAAGACGGTTACTACTTGTATGGGTGAAGAACTTATGAAATCTTAAATATACTTTCATATGAACTTTTTTTTCAATTAAAACAATCTGTAATGAATACAATCGATCACAATAGACACGTCGATTATCTAGAAATCTCTGCAACTTTGAAGGCGAACTGCCTATACAAATGGAGGAAGCCAAACATTTTTATCTCTAAAACCCTGCAAACCTAAATCCCCTGGGTGTATCAATAATGTATAAACGCATCATACACACTCTCAATCGTTGATTACTGTGTTCTTTATCTAATGCTTCTTTATCAAATATTAAAGTACCATCCAAGTGAATAGTACTCCATGAACGTTAACACGCGACTCACAAAAGACACCTCAAATCCCGGCACTAAACCAAGACGTTAAGTAGTTCCTGAGCTTTGAAGGGAGCGGGAGAAGGAGGCTAATCTTTTCCTCCGATAACTGAATAATGGCTTCGTGTACAATAATTAGAACATACTTGTAATATTTCGGTCACAACAATATGACAAAGATGCGTCATTAAGGGTAGTCAATTGGATAGGATGCAAAATTAATTTAACCGTGTCGCATTGTTCTCTCATTGACTACCAATTCCTTGTCTCTTCATTTGTATTGTAAATGAGTATGACTCTAGTTTTTGCCATTTGGTCCTTTCACAATAAGAATCCATTTTGCCAATAATTTTTAGCAGTGTCTCTTAACTTCAATTTCTTGAATTCTGAAAAAAAAGAAGACAATTTCTGGAAAGAAATATATGTGATATTCTCAAGAATATACCGAGATACCCAATTTACTTAAAATTGAAACTTTATATTTTATATGATTGCATTATCTTTTTTTACTCCATTACAATAAGGCAAACCTTCAAAAATACATGTAAATTAACTCAATTAACAATTAATAAACAAACCGATAAATAAAATAAATAAATAAATAAATATGATAACATGTGCACCAAAAGATTTGTTTTAACACTGCATTTAAAGAGCTCCTGTCAATAAATATCCCCATGTTTTGTTTTTTTTAATTATTTATCGGGTATTGCTACTGATTAACAACGGCCTGAAATTTTTCAATACTATCGACTCGATGCTAAAGATTTTTTTGAAACTTGAGAATGAGAACAATTCATATGGTGTTTGTTCCTAAGTTTGCCCTTACAATAATTAAAATCTGAAACCCATTACGTCCAATATCCGCCATTGTAATAAACTGGGAATTTTTAATCGAAAAATTTCAATAACGTATAGCTTTTCAAATAAGAAAATGGTGAAAATATTTGATGAGGTGTCCCTTAAAAAAATTAATAAGAGGCATTGAAAACTTAATATTTTTTTTAAAACAACCCGTTGAACTTTTCTTTGTTTATTTCAATTACAAGAAAATACAATAATGTACCATAGGTTTTATAGGTTCAATTATCTACATATGTTTATACATAAACAACTGTATATTAATTAATCTATTATGTGAAGAACATTAAATGATAATTCATTAACACAATAAATATTTAATAGTAATCGGTGACTGAACAAGGATTTCGATTTTTTATTTGGGGGAGGGGGTAATAAAAATTCCTGACAAGAAAAAGGACAGTGAATTCTGATATAATTGTTTGTTATGCTTTTGATTAGTAAAAATAGTTTATTAAATGTACTTTTAACATTTTCAGAAGTTATGATAACTTTTTTCCAAGCTATAAACGAAAATGCAAAGGTGGGGTGATTCCAAGGGGAAAATACCCGCCGTTTGCGCCCCTCCCCTGAAGTTCTCTACTGTTACTCTATTCGTTTATACACGAACTTAATACATGTACAATTCTCAGTATAAGAAATATATAATGTATAAATCTTCCAGTTTTTGCATGAATAAGACATAGAGGGAATTACAATGTACAGGTAAGGGTATTTACAACCTTTCGACAAACAGCTGATCAGAAGCACATAAGTATATAGCGGACTATTCAAACACAGTACCCCGAGATCAATGACCAACTTCTATACACACCCAAACATCAAAGTACGCATCGACGTCTTTACCTGCTAGAGTCAATAGTTTCTAAAAGTTGATGCGAAAAACGGAATTGGGTTTAAGGAAGATTTTCCGTTTTAATGAGATTTTCGTCTATTTTGTCTCTCGCTCTTAAAAGTTTTGCAACAGGGTTCTTCTGCAACCTGCTGGGTGAAGCGTGTCTGTACTCTAGCATCATGGAAAAACCCGCACGAACGAATTTTAATGTTCTCTTAAACATTCAATCATTAATGCTTTCTGAAGGTATATTACGTGTCTAGTCTGTTTTGATAAGATTTTCTCGATATTTTGTCTTCAAAATAAATGTTTTCCCTGCAAACAGACGGTTGTGCTACAATCAGAGGAATATTATTATCTTAAGAAGCAAGGTAACCTTTTTGAATATTGCTTAATCAATATAAAAAAAATACTTCGGATCAATATATGAAGTTAATTTTTCATTATTTCATTAATAAACTGTGAATAGGGGGGAACTGGGGAAAAAAGAGAGACGATGAATTTTATTTTTGATTATTGGCATAAATAATTCAAATTAATCAAAGTTAGCATGGGCGTAACCAATGAAGCTTCATGTTGCACTTGTTTATATTGAATCTCTGCGATAAAATTCTACAACACAGTAGTTACTTTTTTGTTATCAAAAAGTATCCTTTTTTAAAGAATCAAATTCTTCATTACTTCACCGTCATTTTCAAAATTACCAAATTTTAACTTTGTGAGACCATGTCTATTTTAAAAAGCTGATTCACTGTCAATTCCTACAAAAAGAAAACTCAAACTAGGGTATATAAAATGTATTCACTACCAACATGTGCCTCCAATAAATTCCAAATTTAAGAACAGATGGAATGGTCAAATCAAATCGTGATAAATTAAAAGTTTCCGTAACATCTTAAAAAATAATTGTTGTGTGATTCTTCCATTCATGATGGAACAGATTGTCAATGAATATAACAAAATTGAAATATCTTTTGTTTAGTCTCTGATAAGGAAAATTACGAAACCAAACGTATTCAAATCATCCGCATCCACAAAACTGCGAACGCTGTTATCTAAGTTTATCAAAAACGTGATTTAAACAACTGAGAACTCCCTGAAATTCTTGCTACAAAATTTTGATTTATCTCTTTAAATTTCAGATATCATGATGACGTGTTCGGGCACTGTGGTTCTTTTAATGTGTATCATCTTCATCTCTTTGCCACCGTCCCTAGCTGACAGAAAATTGTGCACAAAGAGGTAAATTTAAGAACAAAATTATAGTCTTTACTGATGGAAGTGCATGTTACGTTTTTGTTTTTAATGTGCTCGTTTCAAAACTGTGAAGACTATTAAAAGCTCTTGTGAACAGGGGACATCCTCCCCATAGATACTTTTCGGGACTGATGGATATTGTTTTTAAAATTATATTTACAATGTATTCCTTGTGATAAGTTTTAGTCATTATTCTACAAAAAATATCCATTATGCAGTCGGCGTCTCAGGTAGAATTATCATTTATTTCTAGACATCACATGGAATACATTGTTAATAAATCTGAAGAAAAAAAATTAAATCATTAATTAAAAAAAATCAAATTAATAGTCCCAAGGGGATGTACAACATTGGAGAGTTAGGGTGGGTGGGGATGGGGCAGGGATCCTCTCCATATGTACTTATGTACAATGTATTATATTGCATGCATGTGACGAACCAAGTTTTAAATTTTTTAACCAAGCATGATCGGAAATGTTCATTGGATATTAAATCAATATGTGAATAAGTAAAAGGCCTTGGAGTTAATTGAAAATATTTTTTTTTCAATAACTGTTTGCAGACTGCAGAATGCAGTAATTTTAATTTCAAAGACAAAAAGAAAGGGAAAAATTGATAACAGAACATGAAACTGAAAGATGAATCTTAAGAAAAAAATTCTCAGTTAATATTCTACCCTACATTTTAGTCCTTAATTTCAATATCCTTGTGATAGGCCAAAATTAACCCCACAAAAATGTGTTATCCTTATTCCTCTAAAATGAAAGAAAGGTAAAAAAGATTAAATTTTGTAACTCTACCATTAATTGCACTTTTTGATGGATGTTTTGTTACTCAAGTAAAATTAAATTAGAATTGTTATATTTCTAAAATGATTCAAAACCATTGATCCTGCAATAAAATGATTATGTCCATGAAAAACAATTAAATTATACAGAGACATCATTTCCTCATGCAAATACCAAATTGGGATTGAAAAACAGAAAGAAAAAAATGAGAGTGATTTATTCTACTAAATAAATCTTATTCCACAAAAAGCTTTTAGCAGTGCATGATTAATGCAGGAGCACGGTATACATAATTCATACATTTTGATGAAGAAGACTGAAAAATTTTCTTGCCACTGTTTTGAATTGTTATTACTCTATTTTTCAAAATGAATATCCATTTGGATGCCAACAAGTCTGTAATTGAATATTGGAAATCAATACCAAGTCTTGCAATCTGGAAAATGAAAACAACTGAAAAAAGGAGAGTGTAAGTCAAAGATATCACCCAATCCTTCTCTCTCAAATTTCCTTTTGGGGTGAAAAAAGGAAACGATGTTTGCAAGTAGGAATAACTAATTCTTTCCAATTCCATACTACTAATGAAAACAGAAATGCAAAAATATAATCAGGGATATTTGCTTGTCTGTTGCAGTTAATCTTTTTAAAATCCTTTGGGAGACATTTCTAATAATGCAACGTTAGCGAGCTATGGTCATGTGTAACCCTGCTAAGAACATTGAGGCTCTTTAACTTGTTATTCTGTCATTTTCAATTATTGGCCACTCAAGCAAGCTAAAAGCATGAAATGTTTTAGTTGTCCCTCAGGCGTCACTGTCAAAACTCCGATATTCTTTTTCATATCATACATTATTCAGTCGAAGAAATATTTTGGCATACCATGTATATATAAAGATGTTGTTGCTATGTGAAATGCAGTCTGGTTTAGGAAACTTCTTCTCTAATTTTTTTTTTTTTTATCAAACCACATAATTATTCAGTTCTCTGAGAATGGGATACATCTATAAAATTAATTATAAACTTTTGCTTTAACACTTAAAAATCGTAGCAAAAATAAAATTCCCAAATATTTTTTCTCAATTTGTATTTGAACTTGTACCTATATTATCCAAAAAAAAAAAAGAATCAATTTCCCATATTGGAAGCATGATTTTCTGTGCATCATGAATCAACTCTTACATTAGGTTATATAGCTGCTGGTAATAATTTAGTACGGGAATAAGATTTTTTTAAAAAAAATTCTATCTATTGGTGACAACATACCACCTCTAAAATTTAATCAGACAGTGACTTTTGGATAATTTACCTGATTCATGACTACAGATCACATTCCCTTATAGTTAATAGGATTATACATCTGTCTGATAATACTTCTCCGAGTTTCATATTCAATCTGCCAAATTATTGATTCTCTGAAGAAATGGAAAAATAAGCTGCTAAAAGTTAAAAAAAAATCAAACATTCAGAGCTGTGAAGTTCAGAAAGGAGAAGAATTTTTATTTAAATGTGATTTTTATGTAAGATAATACTTGATATGCATTCTGGCTGAGATATCAGAAAATTTAATGAAGGGTTCCGGGCTGCAAAAGTGATACTACAGCAATAATTATGTATTGATTTAATTACTGATGAAACGGCAGGATGACAGCGTGTTCACGATCCCTCCTCCACCTCCCTGACTTACCAAACCCCCAAACATCAAAACCAATCTGATTAGACAAAAATTCACAGGATATCTCAGCACTTCCTTAATCTATCATCAAAACTGGCAATAGCGAATCACTGATGAATTTTACATGCTGGAATAATTTTATTGATACAAAGTTCACGGCAGTCATTAGTGTTATGATGAGATGGAGAGTCAAAGTTATGGGGATTAGGGATAAACTTTGCTATCATCTGATTCTGGCAAATTAGTTCTTCAGTGGGCTAGAAAATGAAGAGTAACGAGTTTCATATTAAAAAAAAAAAGAAGAAAATGTCTGAATGTCCTGCTTTTGTCATATATCCCAGAAAGAAGCATTGTACCAAATGTAGTTTTAATATTATTTGATTTTTACTATCAAGAAACACATTTCTTCATATTAATGGCCAAACAGGCAAAGTCATTAAAAATTGTAATTTTAAAAAAAAATGGAATTCTTTTAGAGTTTTTTTTAATTGATTGAAGTAACAAGTCAGAATTTATTTTTAAGATGATTTTTAGAAGTAAGAAGTCTCAAACCAGAAATACAGTCTTTTGCCATCCATTTTCTGGAACTCAGAACTTGCGTGATAACAAAGCGATATATAGGAGATTATGTTGATCATTATGCTGGGAATGACAAAAATTTGTCATCATTTTTTATGTCAAAAAATAGTTTCATTCCAAAGCCGTACAGATTTCTAACAGATTTACGATGATTAAAAAGATTGATTTTTCTCTGTCAGAAGATTTTAATTTCCTGCAAGAATGGTCTCAAAAATGAAATGATTATTTCACATCAAAAATAACAATCTCTCAATCTCTTGGAAAAATTATTATTAAAGGTTTATGATCAAGAAAATAATCCAGGAAAAAGATTTGTGCCCAGGTAGTGAAATCAGATGATGCATATATTTTTGAAGTGATTTTTTTACAGGAAGGGGGGTCCAGGGAAGGGGGTTAATTTTGACTTGGTTCGTAAGTTGGATGCTTGCAAACAAACTGTTTTTGATACATGTATTGTAATCTAATGTCTGAATGAAACCCAGTGTATATGATGAAGAGTTAATTGACATTTTTTGGGTCAAGATAAACTCATACATTTCTATTAAACCAAAAAATGGATATAAATTTTAAGTACATAATGATTAAAAATTTTCTTTTAAGGGTTGAGGGAGTGACTACGAAAGTGCCGCAGACCAGACGCATTCCTGCAAAATGTTCGAACTGGGACCGAGCCTGGACATGGGTCACCCACTCAGACTGTGGTACCAAATATGAGTAAGACTGTCTTAAATAATCAGTCTAAATTTTGCAGTGATCCACTAATGAAAATGTTGTCCTAGATTATCTTGCTTATGTATATTTGCTATTAATGACCAGTAGTACATTGTATTTGAATATACCTGAACACTTTATAAGCTGGTAGACTATTATCAGTTTTTGATTGAGACACTGCCTAATTTTGGTAATAAAAATATTCTTAGACATCTCATTTATGAGGGTTAAACATAAAATTTTAAAAATCTATTTTTCTTCTAAATACATTTTTTACTTGTATTTGGTTTCTTACAAATTGATATAAATGCTTAAAAATTATATATTTTAAGTAATTGCATTCAAAAGCATTTTCAGTTTTAATGGTGTGAAAGCCTATTAGGTACATGTACAGATTCTTGATATTTTAGAATCATTTCTATAGATTTATGACATAAAGGCACAGATCAAAGTCTTACAAAATTTCACTGACTATAATATGCATTAAAGTGCTAATTATTTTACATTTATTGAATTAGTTTTGAAAATTCAAGGGAAAAATCATTTGATGTAACATCAGAAAAAAATCAACCATGATCCCAACTGCTGTAAAAATTAATTACGCTATAATGATCATTACCCTTCCTGTTCGGCATTTATTCTAAAAAAAATAATGTCTCTGCTTCTATGCAATTTTCAAATTGAAACACTGTATTTGATGTTTTGAACACTTCTTTGAAGTATGGGTCTAACTGCTTTGGACCTCCTCTTATAAAACATCAAACAAACAAAGGATTCTAAGGCTGAAGTTGTTGCAATCAAATAACAACACAGAGAAACAAATAGAGGGATGTTGTAACACCATGTTTACTAATGCAGGATAAAAGTGTCTCGTTTATTTTATCCCTCCATTATGGCAGAAAGCAATTGATTCCATTAGTGGGGAATCAAGATCTTTTTTTCCAGAAAAGCAAACAATGAACTTCTATGTTCCTTGGCCTCTGCCACAAAAGTGTTTGAAAATCTCGTAATTGTACATCAATTTCATAGCGACAATGGCCACTGAGTAGAGGGAAGCTATCAGGAATCTTTAGCCAAATGTCTTTTAATTTGTCATGTGGAAATGTTTAAGGTCATTAATCAAGAATGGAGTCCAATAAATGGGGAGCTATTTATCGTAAGCTGTACAAATTTTATGTCCTGTTATGGAAATTTCGCAGTATAAATTGCCGTTTTAATCAGAGTGATCTGCGACGAGGCTGTATCTGGGTTTGTGCTGGAAGACTGATGACGACAAGACATAGAGATAAAAAAAGAAAATCATCGCCGTCTCTATCTTATATGTTATTCCAAATTTTATTCCCCAATCACTTTTCATAATGGCAGCCCACCGAAATCAATATGAAAAGTCCACAGATAAAAAAAAACAAAACTTTTATTCTTTTTCCTCATAGGATTGTAGCGGAAGTTTAATGGAATTGTTGAACATTTGTATATTGCTCTCTCATGGGATAGATGTGCATTTCTCCTATCAGTGGAGGAAATGAATAAAACACAATAACGTATTGGTTCCAGTTCTATCAGCATTCATGGTTACTCAGCGAATTACAAAACACGCTAATTTAATTAATTTAAGTAACATGACTGGACTACCAATAAAGGTTATTCATGCATGGCTAAGCATTTTATCCTGCTGAAAAATGCCGATCAGATGGAAACAACTATGGGAAATTTTCATTCTCGATAATCTCTTGTGTACAATTATGGATTTAACTGCATCCCAATAAAATTCCTGAACATCCTGATTCTTTACGAGAGCAAAAGGAAAATAATTTTTTTTAAAGAACTGTAATTTGTCACATTTTCAAGAATGAAAAAAAAAGTTTGCTCAAAATAAGATACATATGTGGGTGTTGGTTGCCATGGAAATTTGCTAATTTTCATCAATATTTCAAATTATACATTGACAGATGAAATCCTTGACATTTTAATTTGCTAAAATCTATTATTTCTAAGATTTTAAGGTTAATTTCAACATTGTTCTGTTGCAAATGAAAATAGATATATATATATTACTCAACTCCCAGATTTTAGCGAGACACTTTTGTACCACTTCTACATGTACCACACTTCTTATCCTGTTTTGTTACATATGTTATTACATGAATGTCTTCTATACCCTTACAAATAATTATTAAGAAAATACATTGATAATATTTTTAGGACATTTGTGAAGGTATGGTTTGATACTTTGCACATATAGGCATTTATAAGCACATTTTGAAGAAAAAAAAATGCCTTTGAGAAAAAAAATATCAATAATGTCATACACTCATGAAGTGTCAGAACTGAAACATGTTATCAAAATATATATTACAAAGGTTTGATATTTTCATTTCAATACACATTAATCAACAAAACTTGGTTTTTCTTCCTTCTGATAACATTTAGCTTTGAGTTCTAGTACTTGTACATTTTGGCTTCCATACTACAACTGTATTCCTCAAAACTTGTTCCTGCAACTTCATCAGAAAATGAGCTTCAAATTAATTAAATATCTTATGTATATGAATTTTATGGGAAAAAATTCTTGCCTAAATATATGTGGGTTAACAATCCTGAAAACAAAATGTACATGGGATCTGACATATTTCTCATTTAGGGGGAATATGCTTTTCTTTGTAAAGTACTGATTTTTCTTGGCTTAATCTTTTATCTGATGTCAATGAAGTAAAATTCTTCTTTTTTAAAATGAAACTGGTCTTCAAGAAGGTGATCGATACAATATGATTGATGCAAATATGATATTAAAAGTATTTCAGAGTATTGATTTTTTTTTTCTAACTTGACATCTCAATTTTTTGACAGGATCACCTACATTGAGTTACCCCAGCACCAGCAGTACAGACTGGTGTATGAGTGCTGCCCTGGGGAGAAGGACTGCAAGCCTGGTAAGATTATGTGTTAACAATTACCAAATAAAGGACTTAATTATAGCATGTACATGCAACTATCAAACACTGGTATACTTTGTATTTGTTCATAGCTTGATTAACTGAATATCATAAAATATCACTGAAATATTTCGGATGTTTGTAAATGCGCTATATTGTAAGCCATGCTGTATACTAAGTCGTATACTATACCTCTTTAAAACTTAAATTTAAAACAGGGCAAAAGTGTGATACTCAAGGCAAAAATAACCCTGTAAACTGTACTGTAGATCACCAACTTTTCATGACACCTTATTTCGGCAAGAAATTTATTTGGTATTTACTGTGAAATCACTAATTTTCGTGGGTGTTTAATTTTCATTATGTTTTCAAGGTACGAAGAGACCCACAAATTCATTTCCACCATGAAATGTAAAATGTCATATACATAAATACTCAACTATTCTTCATCCATGAAATCAAATCCCCACAAACCCATAGTTTCTGCTCAAACCACGAAAAATTTACCTTACGAAAATATGTGATTTTACAGTATTAGCGAGACATAATTTGGTTATTATTATATATAACATTTGATAATACAATGCGAGAGGAAAATTTTTGTGAGCAGAGGGTCTCATGTAATTACGTGAAAATAAAGTTCTAGCCAATAAATTGTGATTTACAGTATGCACAGTTAACAGTCTTATGATACATGTGCCACACCTGTTTGTTGCACAGTTAACAGTCTTATGAGTAAATGAGCCATACCTGTTTGTTGCAGAAGGACAAGCTGAGGATGAATCTGATGAGAGATTCCTTGCTATCACGTTCGGATGTGCCTCTGCTGCTTTCATCATTCTTATCATCATCATCGTCATCAGTGTGTGCAGGAAGAGACATTCAGGGTACAGGTCTATTACAACAGTATCATCAAAAACAGAAACAAAAAAAGAGAAAGGATTAGGCAATATAAAATTAATTTCTAGATTCTCATCCTCCTTCCTTCATAAAACAGCAGCAGGAGGGTAGAATTCATATGTAAAATGATTTAATTTCGTTTATCAAATATTTCATATTCTTTGAATTTTTATTCCCCCAGAGTCGCCACGCGGGCGAAGTGGTTAGAGCATCTGCTCTAGAGTCGCGAAGTAAGGAGTTGATCCTTACGTCACGGGTTCGAATCCCACTGTGGGATGTGGAGACCGGTCCTTCGGATGAGACTGTATAAACTGAGGTCCCGTGTCGCAGTAGGTGCTGGCACGAAAAAGATCCCTCACTGCTCAATGGCCGTAAGTGCCGAGTATAAGACAAAATTTGCAGCTCTCCACCGGCAAATGGTGGTGTCTCCATATGAGTGAAAAATTCTCGAGAGGGACGTTAAACAACATACAATCAATCAATATTCCCCTGGATCGTAAGATCCCTGGGGTATATTGTTTTTGTCCTGTCTGTCTGTTTGTCTGTTTGTCCGTTTGTCTGTTGTCAACTTTAACCTTGCCGATAACTTTTGATTGATTGGAGCTATGACTTTCATATTTCACATGTGTATTCCTTGTGACAAGACCTTTCTTTGGGTACCATCATATTTGACCTTTTGACCTTGATCTTGGAGTTTGACCCACTTTTGCAAAAATTTATGAGACTTTAACCTTGGCCATAACTTCTGAACAGTTGATGCTTGGGGTTTCAAACTTCATATGTGTATTCTTTGTGACAAGGCCTTCCTTTGGATACCAACAAATTTGACTTTGACATAGGAGTTTGACCTACTTTTGAAAAACTTTAACCTTGGCCATAACTTTTGAACAGTTGGTGCTTGGGGTTTCAAACTTCACAGGTGTATTCCTTGTGACAAGACCTTCCTCTGGATATCAACCTCTTTGACCCTTTGACCTTGACATAGGAGTTTGACCTACTTTTGAAAAACTTTAACCTTGGCCATAACTTTTGAATAGTTGGAGCTAGGGCTTTCATACTTCACATATGTAATCCTTGTGACATCACCTTTCTTTGGATACCAACACTTTGACCCTTTGACCTTGACATAGGAGTTTGACCTACTTTTGAAAAACTTTAACCTTGGCCATAACTTTTGAATGGTTGATGCTAGGGCTTTCATACTTCACATATGTAATCCTTGTGACATCACCTTCCTTTGGATACCAACACTTTGACCCTTTGACCTTGACATAGGAGTTTGACCTACTTTTGAAAAACTTTAACCTTGGCCATAACTTTTGAATGGTTGGTGCTAGGGCTTACATTCTTTCCATAGGTAATCCTTGTGACAAGACCTTCCTTTGGATACCAACCACTTTGACCTTGACGTTTTACTTACTTTTAAACAACTTTAACCTTGGCCATAACTTTTGAACAGTTGCAGCTAGGTCTTTCAAATTTCACAGGTATATTCCTCGAGACAAGACCTTTCTTTGGGTACCAACATTTTTTATCTTTTGGCCTGGATTTTGACTTGCATTTGAGAAACTTTAACCTTCGCCATAAACTGCCATACGGGGGCATCAGTGTTTCACAAACACATCTTGTTCAATTTAATATCTAGTCAATACAAGCCTGTTGAGCTTAAATTATAACCAGTTTTTAACATTTCAAGATTTGTATAGGGGACAAAAACATGTTTAATGGGAAAAAATTCCAAGTTTTAAAATTTAAAAACAAATTGAAGTTTGATTTAAATTAAGAGTGAAAAAAAATAATTTTATATGACTTTGGAGACTAATTGTATTAATGCTTCACAAAATATTTCACAGAAGCTTGAAAGCTCCACATCAAGAGTCATAGCACAAAAAATATGATTTACAGAATATCCATTTTGATTTTAGTATAAATATTCTATTTTATACTCACAGATTCATCTTTTGTCCATACAAGAAGGAGTATGAAAATGCTGACGGTATGTTACATATGGCATTCTATCTGTTTGTAATAATGGCAGTGGCATTCTGTAATTCCACATATCTAAATAAGTATCTAAATGAGATGTTGAATATCAAAGAATATATTACATTTATTAAAAATACATTAACATAAAACCACAAATATTCATTGATGGAATTTTCATTCTGCATTTACATTACAAACTGCTTTAAATTTTAGAATCCCCTGTTGATTTAGGTTGCCGTGTTGAACGCTCTGGACCAAATGACTACATCATTGGGGATTTAGGGGAAGATCGTAAACTTGTGATTGAGTCTGAATATGAGGAGATTTGTGACATAAACCCAGCAGCAAAAGAGGCAGACTGGGACAATGTGTATCAAAAAAGTCCCTCTGCTCCCCCACAGGAATTGATGGATGAGGGTCAAGAACCAGCACAGTCTTTGACCAATGACCATGCAGAAGACAATAGAGAACCAGAAAATGTTGGAATGGCATGTAGTTTAGTTGAAACTGATCAAACAGCTCAGAAAACTTTAGTAGACATTGAAGAGAACAACCAGCCTGGAAACGTGTGTGATTCTAACACCAAAAGTGTAAATATTTCTGGAGCTGGATCAAAAGATATTTTGTGTGAAGACTTAAATCATGATGTGCTTGACATTAAACTTCCTACTGAAAGCCATTCTTCTATAGCATTGCTTCAGCCTGTAAAGGCAGAGGACCAAAGTCAAAGCAAGGATTGTGAGAATTCAATGAAAGACACAGATTGTGCTCAAATTCCCACTGAAAGCCTGGATTTAGTGACTGCAACTTCCTCAGAAAATGGTCTTTCTAAAAAGGAAACTGTTAAGTCTTTTGAAGATGCTTCTGAAAGATCAAATGAAGAAAAAAATTCTTGTGATTACAATGGCATGTATGAAGAATTAAAATGAAAGTATTTTTTTTAATTATCTAGAAATCAGCTGAAGCATTTTGTAGCAATGACCCAAGGCATTAAAGTATTTAACTCCATACCTTAATTTATAGACAACATAATATTTCCATTTAAAAATGGACTATTCATGACAGAAGTTTTGCATATACATATGTACATGTAATATTTCATTTATAAATAAATGCTTCATTTTAAAACATTGCTCTTTTGTTTATACCTGAGTAACTATAATAATTAATAAATGATATATATTAATCTATCAATGTTTTTTAAGTCGATGTTTAACTGCTATCACTTCCCGTACAACATATGTAAAATTGTTGAACTTGTGAGGTCAACATGATGATTCAGTAGAATAAAAATAAACTGCCCAGATGAGTAAGATGATCTTCTTCAAGAGAACTTATACCTTGTAAATTATTCTATTAACCTCAAAGAAATTAACAAGAGGTTTAATCAAATTAGCTTAATGATTTCTTTTCCATAAGTGATATTTCTTTACATTCAATGGATGTGTCTTAATTTTGGACCAAGTGCAAGAAAACTACTATTCTTAGTGCATACATTTTAGGTGTAGACCATGTTATAAGCACCACCAATATAATGATTGCTTTAATCTACATATTATACAGTTGAACTTTGGTATCTCAAACACTGATATTCTGAATACCATGGATATATCAAAGTGATTTTGAAGTCCCAAACACTTATTCTTTAAGTATTTTACACTTGATATCTCGAATCCTTGGATATTTCAAAGTATTTTCTTGGTCCCGTTGAATTCGAGATAACGAGGTTTGACCGTAAATTGGAATTTTGATCTTAGAATAAGATTTCTGGTAAAGTGGTTCTAGAGTAGCAGATTGTCCCAAATTCTTAGAGGAGATTATAGCAGCTGCTATGCTATTAGAGAGACCAAGTATATCCCTGTAATATGAATACATATAAAATAAATATCTTGAATGTGTGTAGGGGATCAAACATGTTTTAAAGCAATACGAGCTGCAACTTTGATGACAAAAATTTTTGTTGCAATATTGGAATTAACTATTACAATGGCAAAAAAAAGAACGTTTATAAACTTCTATTGTTTATATTTGTGATGGAAGAACTGATTTTAAGCTTTGATTGAAGGAAAATTACATTATTATCATCCTGTACAATATTGATTTCTCATATAATAGTATACATTCCATTGTACAAAAACCTTTGTTCTGAAAAAATTTAATATTTTATTTTAGTCTAATTGATCATAAAGGTTTAAGTTACATACTGATTTATCATAACAGCACATTTAAATAACAAAAGGAAATTTTCAAAAATTCAGCTCATATTGCTTTAAAAAAAACTGATTATATCAAATAACATTTGTTCTTCTTTGTTCTCCTCTGTTAATCGTTTAATATAGGGACCTGCTTCATTCAAGATTTTCTGCAAGACTACCGTAAATACTCAGCTATAAGTCGTTTTTTTGGGAGTTAAACTTTGATCCAATACTCTTTATCCGACTTATATGCCAGTTATAAAAAGATTAATATTTTAGCGGGTCAATCCCTCTAATTTACGCATAAAAAATACAACCGCCTTATAGGCGAGTATATACGGTAAATAAGATTTCCACAAGGATTGACAGTTTTCTCAATATCAAACATTATTAATATCAACATTTTATCATTAATTTATCATTACTTCCCCAGGCTGGGGTATGCATTATGGAATTGTAAAGTAAATTTTGGTAAAGAGCTAATGGCTCATTGCTATCATACATATGGTAAAAGACTGCTAGATATCCAAGACTAAGGGCAAAAATCTCTTAAGATAGCCTAAAGAAAAATATTCAAAAGTGAACCAATGATGCACTTCACACTGAGTGTTGCTCAACTTACCAAAAATTAATTTTACACTTAATTTTTTAACTAGTGTATAAAAATTAAGTCTGATATTTTTAATAAACAAGAAAATCAACCATTTTCTTTTAAAATTCTATTGCTATTTAATATCTAAATCTTCATCAATTTCAAAATCACAGTTAGAATCACTGAGTTCATCTTCTACAACCATTGGAGTCCTAAACACTTTGTCGTAGTCTATACACTCCGGTCTTACTCGCAGCATAAACTTGAGTAACCTGGCTACGTTAATTTGATTGTCCCAACGCTGAAGTCTTTTAAAATGAGATCCCACTATAAGGCCACTAGCATTTTGGAATTTATGCACATTGTTTGTTGTCACACCAGAACCAACTAGAACTGGAATGGAGACACTGCGCATAACATCTGAAAAAGAAGAACAAATTGCGTAATAAATGTCACGAATATTACCGGTAGTTGGTTTACAGTAATTAAGGATGCCAGGTAAAAGAAAATTTAGTTTTGTTCTAGCGTAATTTACTAACACGTGATAAAACTAATGAAGAACGTCTCGGAGAAAAGGGAGAAATCCATAGCAGACATTTATTACTTTGTAATTAATTTTCATCTCTCGTTCCTCAATTTCATAAATTTTCAAGTCAGTTGGTAAGACTTTTGTTTGAAAAAGTGGTTACTACAATAATCTTGCAAGAGTTGTGGAGCCTTTTCATGTATTTTCCCTTTTCAAAATATAGTTCTGCATCTTGCAATAGGCCTTCCTCCATTATTATGATTTTCAAACACGTAATAGCCAAATGAACTACAGGAAGTAATTTCAGTGCAATTTACTGACCTTGAACCTCATTAGGTTTAGTCTCTACCCCCGTGGCAGTCCCTGTCACAATGACCCCATCACTCCCAAACAGCTCAGCAGCCCTGGCCGTCTCCACTAAACTGATATCAGAGGTGATTGCATGGGCACTGGAAATAATGTCCATCAATGAAAGAAAATAGAAGTTTAAAGTAAACATGTTCTCTCATTATAAGAACACTATCAGCAGAGCACACTACAACAGGTATTTCTAAAACTATAAAATAAAAACAAATTTAAATCTTTGCATTATAAACAAGACTCATCGGTCTTGCAGTATGTTACCAGAGAATCAAGAGTTTTTTGATATTCTTGATATCACCAATTCAGAAACACCTTGAAACTAGTACTGGAACTAAATTATAAATTTTGAAAGACGGCTTTCTGTGCACATTCAACTTGCATGATATATTCTTTAAAGTGCTAATCAGTACAAAGAATTAAAAAAAACCAAGAGGCCCAGTGGCCTTAACGGCCACCTGAGTATAATACAACAATTTAGAAGATCCATAGAGTATAAAATAATCTGATATATGAAGTTTTGTTGCCCAAAAGCAAGAGAAATAGGATGATAAGGATAGTCTAGTGTTCAGTAACAACTCATAAAGTAAGTTCTAATCTGTCCCCCATTCATCACTATTACCATGCACACTATTCACAAAATATTACTGCTTCGGTACTTTTTTTTAACCCCATATTGTAACCTCACACACTGGCTTTTCTTAAGTCTTTGAAGAACATTTAATAGGATAATTTATTTTTGTCTCATTCTTATTATCTATTTTTTACAAGTCTACCTGATCATTAAAACTATGAAAGTACTTTTTGTATCAAAGTGATACAATAAAAATTCTTGCATAATTCTCTTATTCTATTAACCTTTCAAATACATCATTTGCAGTGATTAATTATCAAAGGTGAATAGCAAAGGGGAATAACCTCTCTCAGGAGAATACAAATTAATAGAGCCCTGGCCATGACCAGAATACTTGATCAAATGGTCCAGATGTTCAAAAATGTGATAAAAATACTCATGCTTTTTAAAACTTTTACTCTGTTTGCTCCGATATGCCCAGGAGCAGAGAAGATTTTCAAAGAAATATGCATTTCACTAAAGATTCAACACAGCCCTACCCTAACACCAGAACCTTGACCCAGGGTCATGAATTTCACAAATTTGGAAGAGGTACCCTAATCATTATAACTATGCACTTAGTTGAAGATTTTCAAAGAATTTACACATTTTCTCTATATTATCAATGGAGCCCCCCTCTCCAAGTAACACAAGAACCCCTGACCCTGGGACCACAAGTTTTAAAAAAATTTGTAAGAAACACCCTTGCTCATCATAACTATGCACTTTGTTAATCTGTGGGTCTTTTCAGAAAAAATCTTACAACATATTTTTATCTTAAGTGAAAACTTATGATAAAAATCATTTTCACAAAAATTCTTAAGAAAGTCGTAAGTGCAAAATCTGTCGTAACTTTACGAGAGCCCAAACCCTCTCTTAAGTATTTTAAAACCTATTTAGTTGTAAAAATATAACCGCAAAAACCAAACAACACTAAATTGAACTTTTTAAAGCAACTTCCAATAATATTTTATATTTTTTTCACAATCATTGTCGAAAAATTAAATGAAATACACTACAAAATATTTACGATGTAAGTTTCACTTAAGATTTTCGTATGACCTACTTTTACGTCAGACTTGTGATTGTGACATCAGATTTTAAACTTCCTTGCTTCACAAACAATTGCATTCGATATTTGTTGTCAATAATGTTTGTTATGCTGACAAATGTTGAAAACTAACATTTATTTTTATTTTTACCTACTTATTTAAGGATTTTAAAGCATATTGAAGTCGTTGCTAGGGATGAAGTCTGTCATAAGTAAAATCTTAAGTTCAATCTGCTACGAATGCGTTCGCAAAAAGTACTTAAGATTTGTTGTAAGAGATTCTTAAGGTAAAATCTTATGCAAAAACTTGAGATTTTTTGTGAAAAGGGCGACTGCTCAATACTAAGGAGCAGGCAGGATTATTTAAAAGAATTAATGCATTTTCACTATATTATTGACAGAGCCCCACCCTTAAACCAGAAATCCTGACCCAGGGGCCATGAAATTCACAATTTTGGAATAGACATCCTTGCTCATCATAACTATGTACCTACTTAGTTTGTTTAATACCCAGGAGCAGAGAAGAAGATTTTTAAACAATGCATTTTCACTATATAATCAATAGAGCCCTGCCTAACACCAGAAACCCTGGCCCAGGGGCCATGAAATTAAAAAATTTTGGAAGAGGCAACCTTGCTCATCATAACTATTACTTAGTTATTTTCTGAAATACCCATGAGCAGAGAAGATTTTCAAAGAAATAATGCACTTTCACTGTATGATCTTTATAGCCCCATCCTAGCACCAGAACCCCTGACCTGGCACCATGAATTTCACAATTTTGGTAGAGGACTCAATGCTTATTACAATCATGACAACAGTTTATCTGCTTATGCCCAGGAGTAATTAAAGAAGAAGATTTTTAAAGATTGCATTAATTTTAATAGTTATAGCTCCACCCCTCAGGCCCCAGGGGGGCAGGAACCATGAAATTCACAATCTTTGTTCCCCTTCACCTATAGATGCTTGAAATTGGTTCAGCAGTTTCAGAGAAGTTGAAAATGTTTAAATGTTAACGCATGATGAATGACGACGAACAAAAACAGATAGCAATAAGGTCACCTGAGTGACTCAGGTATCTAAAAATAGTGTATTTACAATAATGAGTAACTTAGCCCTAACCTGGGTTCTGAACCCTTTGGACTCATATTCATGCTTCTGCAAACTGCAAAGCATTATTATGACCAAGACAAAACTTATTAATTCTGTTACATAGTCTTAGGATCAGAACATACCTTTTGACCATTAGCAACTACACATAAAGTATGATCTTCTAATACTCCTACATTACAAAGTTATGCCCTGGACAAGAATTTTACACTTTACACTTTGAAAACCTTTGACTTCAACCAAATGATCAAATGACTTTGGTCAAAAGCAAACCTATCTGTCAAGTATAAGAGTTGGTTTCTAGATTTTCTTGTATAAAAGTTAGGCTTCAGGACCTTGACCAAATGCCCATGGTTCAGGTAAAGATACCCCCTGGTCATAGGCCACCTTAATGGCAAGTATGAGCTTCTAATATTTCTCTTTTGCAAAGACATGACTCATACAAATATTTTGCAGTTTGTACCCCTGTGACTTCGACCTCATGTGCATATAAGTTACTTAGGCACAGGGTCAAGACACACATTCAATCTGCTTATAACAAACAATTATACCAAATAATGTATAAGTAGAATTTTTAGCGAGGATTTAATTTTGGCATTACCAGCGAGGGTGCTGAGATCGCTAAAATTGAATATCGCTAAAAATTAATTGCGTTTTATTTGTTAAAGCTTCTTTAGTTAGCATTTTAATATCACTACAATTACTTCTCGCTAAAAATAATTATCATTTATTAAGGATAAATCGCTAAATTTTCATCTCGCTAAATTTTCCACTTATATGGTATAAGTTTTTTAGTGGTTCTCCATTGCAAATTTCTGGCCGAGACATGAAACACTTTCACAGCTCTCAATCATTTCAAATACTGTGGTAAAACATTATGGATGAGGACACATGTACTTACCAATATTCTAAAATGTTACCATCATCAATACATGCACCTGTACAGTACTTTGTAAACAGCTTCAATTTCTTTAATCTTTTCATGATTAACTTACCTATGTTTCTTTTTTATGTCTGTAAAAATTTTGATGTCCTTGGCCCCGATTTGTTTTCTATAACGTAGAAGATCTCCTGCACAGGAATCCATCCAGCCCTCGTCAGCTACATGGGAGTACACAAAGCCCTCCGCTCTTATATAGTCCAACTCTGAAAAATAAAGTGCTTTTAACTAATTTACCGAGTAAGAAATACAGTGTGTGTTGTTTTCATTTACACAACAGGCTCATGGAGCTTCAAATGAATGTCATCTGGTGTTTATATGCTTATCACATGTGAGACAGGATTTTTTTTTAAATTTTCACTTGTGCTTCACACTTGTGAGAATATAAAAAAAAATCCTGTCCCGCTCCTGAAATAAATTCCATATCCAACAACAAAAACACTGAATATTTTCATTTTGTATCTCTTATATTTATGGGTGAAAAGAAACAAAATATGTGAATTTTAAGGTCCTTGCCCCCTAGGGGCCTTCGGGTTGGGGGCCATCAAAATTCAAGCAATTTTCAGAAATTTTTCATTTTAATCTGGAACTTGGCAGACAAACTGTTGCAATATTATAATGAATAATTCCTGTGCTAATTAAAGTTTTTCAATATGTCTCTAGGTTCACTGATTCTGGCCTTTGGAAGAAACTAAATTGAGGATTATAAAATATTCAATGGATTCTTTCTTATTTTTGGAACAACTTGTATTCATCTTAATTACTACAAAAGAAAATTTCAAAGAAGTAAGATTATCTGCTAATTAAGATAGGTAACTCTGAAAAATATCTATTAACAAGAGGCCCATGGGCCACATTGCTCACCTGAGCACATTGGCTAGGAAAAAAAGAAAAATCAGTTCAGCATTGAAAAGTTTATGGGGGGGGGGGGTGAATTTTAAACTACCTAATGATGCTTTCATATCAATATAACAAATGGCTTTGCTGTTCTTGAGCAGCAGATTTTTTTCCCATATATTCATTTGTAAAAATTTGATCCCCCATAGTGGCCCTACCCTATAATAGCTACCCCCCGGGGGTCATGATTTGAACAAACTTGAACCTACACTACATGAGGATGCTTCCATGTAAATATGACCAATTATGGCTTTATTGTTCTTAAGAGGAAAAATTTTAAAGATATTTTCCTATATATTTCTATGTAAAACTTTGATCCCCCATTTTGGCCCCACCCTACCCCTGGGTGTCATGATTTGAACAGACATGAATCTACACTACCTGAGGATGCTACCATATAAATATGACCAATCATGGCTTTGCTGTTCTTAAGAAGAAGATTTTTAAAGATATTTTCCTATAGATATATTTCTTTGAAAAACTTTGATTCCCCATTGTGGCCCCACCCTACCCCCGGGGGTCATGATTTGAACAAACTTGAATCTGTACTACCTGAGGATGCTTCCATATAAATATGATCAAGCATGGCTTTGCTGTTCTTAAGAAGAAGATTTTTAAAGATATTTTCCTATATATTTCTATGTAAAAATTTGATCCCCCATTGTGGCCCCACCCTACCCCCAGGGGTCATGATTTGAACAAACTTCAATCTACACTACCTGAGGATGCTTCCATATAAATATGACCAATCATGGTTTTGCTGTTCTTAAGAAGAAGATTTTTAAAAATATTTTCCTATATATTTCTATGTAAAAATTTGATCCCCCATTGTGGCCCCACCCTACCCCCAGGGGTCATGATTTGAACAAACTTCAATCTACACTACCTGAGAATGCTTCCATATAAATATGACCAATCATGGCTTTGCTGTTCTTAAGAAGAAGATTTTTAAAGATATTTTCCTATATATTTCTATGTAAAACTTTGATCCCCCATTGTGGCCCCACCCTACCCCCGGGGGTCATGATTTGAACAAACTTGAATCTGTACTACCTGAGGATGCTTCCATATAAATATGACCAATCATGGCTTTGCTGTTCTTAAGAAGAAGATTTTTAAAGATATTTTCCTATATATTTCTATGTAAAACTTTGATCCCCCATTGTGGCGCCATCCTACCCCCGGGGGTCATGATTTGAACAAACTTCAATCTACACTACCTGAGGATGCTTCCATATAAATATGACCAATCATGGCTTTGCTGTTCTTAAGAGGAAGAATTTTAAAGATATTTTCCTATATATTTCTATGTAAAACTTTGATCCCCCATTGTGGCCCCACCCTACCCCCGGGGGTCATGATTTGAACAAACTTCAATCTACACTACCTGAGGATGCTTCCATGTAAATATGACCAATTATGGCTTTATTGTTCTTAAGAGGAAGATTTTGAAAGATATTTTCCTATATATTTCTATGTAAAACTTTGATCCCCCATTGTGGCCCCACCCTACCCCCGGGGGTCATGATTTGCACAAACTTCAATCTACACTACCTGAGGATGCTTCCATATAAATATGACCAATCATGGCTTTGCTGTTCTTAAGAAGAAGATTTTTAAAGATATTTTCCTATATATTTCTATGTAAAACTTTGATCCCCCATTGTGGCCCCACCCTACCCCCGGGGGTCATGATTTGAACAAACTTCAATCTACACTACCTGAGGATGTTTCCACATAAGTTTCATCTTTCCTGGCCCAGTGGTTCTTGAGAAGAAGATTTTTAAATGATGCCATTATTTTTTCACTAATTCCTAATTATCTCCCCTTGAAAGAGGGCGTGGCCCCTCATTTGAACAAACTTGAATTCCCTTTACCCAAGGATGCTTCATGGCAAGTTTGGTTGAAATTGGCCCAGTGGTTCTGGAGAAGAAGTCAAAAATGTGAAAAGTTTACAGACGGACGGACAGACAGACGGACAGACGGACGACGGACAAAATGTGATCAGAAAAGCTCACTTGAGCTTTCAGCTCAGGTGAGCTAAAAAAACATTACAATTATAATCTAATTAAGCTGTCCATTTTTGTTGCATATGGTATACATGTATTAAAATTGCTTGAATTTCAGAAATTTTTTTAAATGCCCCCAATTTATTTAACTTGCCATTTTGGCCCTTGTTTTAAGTTGTGGGCAAATTTAAAACAGAGCAAATTCAACAAATTAAGACATAGTTATCTCTCTATTAACACAAAATGTTTCTGGGTAATTTTAAAATGGATTAAAATCATTTGCGAGCACGGTAGTGTAAAAATAACGCTATATACAGTTATTTCTGGAGAAATAAAATACAATTTGCAGATGACACAATAAAAATATGTATGGCAATATGTCATGTGAGTGACTCAGATGACCTAGAGAACTGGGGTTCACATATAATGGAGTTTCTCCTGATCTATAAAAGTTCTCTGACAATGCTTCAGAAAACAGTGCTTCTTCACCTTTCAAGACTACAAAAGATTGTCAATTGTTTCAGTGAATGGCTGTACCTGCTGCTTGCGCCACTGCCAATGCCTGTCTGTTGCCGCCTGCCAAAATCTGGGCACCAACATAATTTTTCTGCAGCAGAATAAAAAGTTTTATTTAAATATTAATGAAAATCATAATCATTTTATGTTCATTTGTATGATTCATGGCAGTAAAACAAATTTGTATGAGAAAACAGTTAAAAAAAAAAAAAGAGAGAGAGAAAAAAATCAGTTCTGGTTATAAATACATTGTACACTGAAGTTAATTGATCTAGTAAGACTGAAGTTAATTCAATGAATATACTGCAAGATATTTAAATGAAATATTAAATATAATATCTTCTTATAATACTGTTTTAAGGGCCTTCCAACAGCTTTTCAACTTTGCACTTCTCTTTGAGTTCCCATATTCTTCACCCAAAAGTTCACCATTTACAAAGACTGAGCCTTTGAACCTGAAGATCAAACCAGAATCTCTAATGAAATATTATCTGACTCATGTAGACTTGTATATAGGTGAAAACTGCTTTTTGACATTTTTTTTCTTTTGATTTAATAAGAGGAGTAGCATTTCCTCAGTAAAATTAGAAGAAATGGTGCAAAAGCAAAAATAAGCTTTTTGAACTAATTTTACAAATTATTACTGTGTACTGGGTTATTTCATATTCATAGACATGTTAGAAATTGAATTTAAAAATCTGAAATAATAGTATAAAGTATTATAATAGTTAAATACAGAATCCACTATCTATATAAAGCAAAGATATATTAATATATGGGTATTGGACAGACCTCATCAAGATTTTATAGTATTATATATGTACATGTAAAGTTAATCCACAATATAACTAAATTCATCAGCAAACCCAAATTGCTGATATGCATGGTCACAAGGACTGATCAATATATTTTTTTTATCTCATTTGTAAATGATATTGGTTAAGGTGAGCAGATTGATCTTTGGTTACCAGTGTTTGGTTTTTGTGCCTTTGCTCAAACTATGACCCACTCACTTGACTGCCAGAATTCAACATTTACTCATTGCAAGATACACACACACAACACACACATATATATAAAATATATATATATATATATATATTATATATATATATATATATATATATATATATATATATATATATATATGACTCCTAAGTCAGATGGTCCCGCCAGAGTCCGATGGTCTGTGCCAAACCCCGATGGTTTGTTGTCAGAACGGATGCCAATGTCCAATGGCTCATTTCCTACGAGACGCACTGCGCTAAAGTGCGATGTTCGGATATGCCAAAGTCTGATGGTGTGGAGAAACAATCAGTGAGTATGATGTCACAATATTCCAGCGTCAATCCTTGACACCCTTGTCCTGCATTCAAAAGACAGCAATTCAGTTTTAGTCCTCACATACGATTTCACTGATTTTGCTTATTGTTTGCACCCAGCTGAGATATTAGAATTAGTCCTCGCAAACCACTCAATTGATAAGGGTTAGTCCTTGCACACTACTGGACCAATTATGGAATAACTTCGCACCAATCCGGTAGATTTAGGGTTAGTCCTCACACACTATTCAACTGATTAGGGTTAGTCTCACACCCACCAAAGATATCTAGGTTAGTTGTTTTACATACTTTTCGACCAATTAGGGTTAGACTCGCACCTATACGACAGATTAGGATTAGTTTCACATTTAACATTTATTTGTATTTTATTTAAATCATCAGGGTTAGGGTTAGCATGGCACGGCATCGCAATTTGGTGCAGTAGTACTATGATGTCATAAACGTTAATTGTGTTTCCGCACCATTGGTGTGTCAAACCATCAGGGTTTGGCACAGACAATCAAACTTTGGTATGACCACTGGACTTTGGAGTCCCATGGCACTTTGGAGTCCTACATATATATTTTTAGGATCTCCCTATATAGCTACATCTATACAGTATGGCTTTATTTACTACAAAGTTTCATGAAATTCTGTTCAGCTGTTTAAGAGGGGTTGCTATATGACAACTGTTTCAGTAATATGTTTACTTCTTATAAAGGGGCATAACTCCTAGAAAAAAATGGAATAAAAAATTCCTGCAAATATGCAAAGTATGTCCCTAATAACTTCAAAGTTAATTCTGTTTAGCGGTTTCAGAGGAGTTGCGATGACAAGAACAGGACTGATAAACTGATGGAGGGACTGATGAATGGGTTAAAAACATTATATCCTCTGTAACTCATTGTGCGGAATATAATAAAACTGCTCTTAAATCTAAAAAACCAGCATCATTAAAGTTAAGTCACTCATTTGTGCCACGATGGTTCTGAGAAACATCTGAGGCAAGAGCAGTCATACTGTATGAATCCCTAGATTCAAAGCTGTATCATCAAGTCTAGACTAGGTAGGGCTCGTAGAGATTTAGAAATAGATCTACTACAAAGGTTTGACTTGGAACAAATACATTGAGCTCACAGCATTTAATAAATCTGTCTCTGATTTCAACAGGTAAGCTGAAAATAATTCTATTAAAAAATAAGTCCTTACTTTTTCTGTTCATCATCCCAAACTGTATCCATTTGGAGAGGAAGTTTTTTCTCATTACAATAACTATTGAAATGTTGAAGAATGGTTTTATTTGACAGCTGCTACAAAACACAAAAAAAAAAAAAAAGAAAAAATAGAGGATATTTTTCAAAGCTTATTTAAGTAATGAATTTGTGAAGAAAATTTAATATCTTATCAATTAACATATGCAATGTCTTCACTCTTTAATATTTTTCTTGATATAATAAATGTTCTACCAGTATATAATTTTCAAATTAATGTGAATGATTTTTCAATAGCATAAGCATATTATTAGCTTAATTACATAAATCTTACCTGCATATGATCATGTCTGTACATTGCCTTTAAAAAAAATTAAAATTTTTTTTGACTGAAAGGTGATAGCAGCTGTGGTTATGAGAATTTAACATGATTAAACAGGCACCACTATATATATAAAGCAACACATTTACAGGGAATTCACTTACAATGAATTCACACTTAAAGCAAAGTGATTTTCATTCCCTGTTAGTTTTAAAACATATCATGACTTTAATAGATGTAACGATCGAAATACGTTTAAAACAAATCAAAAATGGTTCTCCCTTGCACTTTGCAAAATAAGTGTGTTTTAGTGTACAACTAAAGTGGATGGACAAATGACTTACTATTACTTGTTTCTGGTCGAGTTTATCTTCATCAATCAGATTTTCACATAAGTGAAGGAGACCGAGTGTTTTAGCCTCTGCCTTGGTGCTGCCTTTCCCTTCTTCAGTACATCCTGGAAACCTTGCCTTGAATTACATGAAATATTCAAATTATCTTCAACTTCTGATTAGAAAGAAATAGATGAGATTCTTGGCGTGAGCAACAAATTGGGTCTTCATTTCTCAAATACCACTGCCATCTCTGTTTGATATTAAATATGCTTTTTTTTAAATCTAAAAGTTTGTTCCCTATATAAGATGTTCTTAATGAAAACATCCTGGATTTAAACACCTTTAATTCAATATTGACTTCATAAATTGTTTGTCTGAGTTTTTAAATATAAGGCAAACTCAAATAACTTTTAGCTCTTAATGGTGAGATACATATATTTTATGTCAATTGGGATTGCCTCAGACCATCATTTCAAGCTATCACAAAATACATTGAATTTCAAAATTAGGTTAGATTTAGGGATTTGGCCTCTTAAAATCCTTGAGCTCTTTAGAAATGGAGTTTTGTTTAAAATCAACAGGTTCTGAATGACAAAATGAAAAACTATGCTTCATCGATAGGTAACAAAATCTTTAGTTTAAAAGATATTAAGGAATGAGTGTTAAGCCCCTTGAATCCTTAATATAAGGGGCCAAACCATTTGTCTTGATATATGAGTCAATAGAAGTTGTAGATTTTAAGTCAATATATTTTGAGAATTTTTCTCTTTAGCTTTTGAGATCGAATGCAAACTCTATTTTATGGATTAAGTATATCCCTTCAGCCCTTAACAGAGATGTATAGATTTTCTGTCAAGTGGAATTGTCTCAAATCAATAACATTTCAAACTGCTTCAAATACAGTCAAACCTCGATATCTCGAATTTCACGGGACCAAGAAAATACTTCCGAGATATCCAAGGATTCAAGATATCCAGGGTAAAATACTTAATAAATAAGTGTTTGGGACTTCAAAATCACTTCGACATATCCATGGTATTCCAGATATCCATGTTCGAGATACCGAAGTTCAACCGTATTTCAAATAAGGAAATATATGCTCAAAGATTTGGTAAACAACATTTCCCAATTTCTCTAAAATTTTTAGTTCCATTTACATACAAGGAGGTTCTCTCAATTTAAAATAAAGTGTGATAACTTCTGATCAGAGGTGAATTCTGAAAAGTTAATTAACAAAATGGGATCATCTTTAGAACATAATATCATGGTAGGTTTAATGAAAATTGGTCAAAGTGACTGAAAACCCAAATTTATAATTAACTACATAACAATTAATACAATCTTTCATTCCATTCAAAGTCAATAAAGATCATATCATAAGTCTAAAGCTCTGCTATCCATCTATATGATACAAGCAAAGTAACACACATGTATGTCCTAATCATGCTAATATAATATATCTTATCATGCTAAAAAAAAAAAAAAACAAACAAATAATTCTAAATTATTAAGTTTAAGTTGTCTACGTATATACATGCAGATGTCCCAACATATCATCCCCTTACTTTATATATTTTGCATCAGAAAAATACATGTATATCATATTCTTCATAAAAGTCACCAAGTTGGAACAAAAACAAAAATCTTAATAATTTTGCTCTTATGACCAAAAAAAAAAAAAAATCATGATACAAAACAATGACTATGAAGTGGATATGTTAATGAAATACCTTTTCAAAAATTTTTAACAGAAAAAGTACTTACTAATATATATTCATTTCCATCTTCAAAATAACTGCTGTATGTAGCCTTTGACGCTTTATCCTGTATATCACCTGGAAGTGTACTAAACAACCCCCTTAAAGAGTTCACCTGGAGACAAAGTAAAACAGAATATTGACTAATATATGTATGGTTTACATCATTTTCACTTGCATATACTAGAAAATTCTAATGCCACCTTAGTTTTTACATCTTTACTATAAATAACAAACATGTAGAACTAAAAGTATCTAAAATATGTAAGAGCTTGAACATAAGCACTTGTAAGTTGCATTGCACTAGATCTAAAAACAACTTGTACCAAATCTTCACAAAATTCAATTTTTCAGTATAATTACAGAAAATGCATTATAATACTATATCTAAAGTATATATTCACCCATCTTCAACTGTTTGAAAAGGGGGGCTATTTAAACATCCTCTCAAAACAAAGTACATATATAAGATATAAGGTAAAATTTTAGCAGAGAAGAGCAAATTTCAAAATGTAAAAAACATGATAAATGCACTACCATTTTTGCATGTGGGTCAATAAATGCAGCCAGGCTTCTCTCTTGGAAAACAACTTTAGCTGTTGAACAAATTCTGGTCATACATGCAACAATCTCTGGTCCTATATCTTTGCTCTGGACATATGGTAGATCATGCATATTTTCCACCAATATTGAATCCTACAACCATTGTACTCACAATAAAACATGACTGTAACATAATCTGGGAACAAACATCTCTCTCTCTCATTCTCTCTCTCTCTCTGAACTTATGGGGTTATTATGTGCATACCAAGGAAGGAAGGCCGTGTTTGCATTATAATTAAATTCAAAAGTAAAAAGTATGTGTCGATATCTTAATACAGAAACCCTTTTGTCACTTTTTGACACCTATGTAACAAGTATTTTAAACTATGGTTGTGAGGTTTGGGGTAGTCATAATGCTAGTGACGTAGAAAAAGTACAGTTGGAATTTATAAAATCTGTTTTAGGCGTAAGGAAAAACACAAACTCTGCTTCAGTGTACATGTATTTGGAAACTGGCTACCTATGAAAATTACTCGATTGTATAGAATGTTCAAATTCTGGTTCAAGGTTTTATCTAGTGAAAATTGTATAATAAAAAACTGTTACGATGAACTATATGATAACTGTGACAGAATGAAAAACAGTAAGAAAAATATTGGGCCTTTTGTATTAAAGAAAAATTGTATGAAATTGGGTTAGGATACATGTATATGTGGTGTGAACAAGATAGAGCTTGTTATAGAATTTTTTCCCAATTATAAAACAAAGATTGAATGACATATGTGTTCAAAACCTTATGGAAGAAATCAATTATTCATCAAAATGTAACATTTACAAACATATAATAGACAATTTTTCTTTACAGTATTATCCTTGTAAGCCCATACCTTCTATGTACAAAAAGCAAATTAGTCGAATTAGACTTTCATCTCATAACCTTGAAATTGAGTCAGGACGACATAATAAAATACCTAGGGAGAGTAGAATGTGCAGAATGTGTAAAAATGAAATAGAGGATGAATACCATTTTGTTTTAATTTGTCCACATTTTGAAAAGCTCCGTAAAAAATATATTAAATTGTATTACTGGCAAAAACCATCTGTTTTTAAATTTGTACAATTATTAGGTACACGCAATGTCCATGGTCTTTGTAATTTAGGGAAATTTATTCATGTTGCTTTTAAATTGAGAGAGAGCATTCTCTCATATGGTAATTCTCCATGAAATCATGATTGTTATATTGTATTATATTTTTGTAATCAATAAGGACTGCTATACAATGCCATTTTGTAATATTTTGTATAATATGTTGAAATGCGATAAGATGTATGTCTTAAGCAATAAATAAATAATGTGCAGAATGTTTTTTTTAATAATATTTCTTAAAAGATACACCTTTAAAGTCTCCACTTTCCAATATGTTAGTGATGTACTGATATGATCAAAATATAAGTTGTTTTTAATAATAATAAAAAAAATCATTTAAATATCATTTTTTTTTTTAAATCATCTCTTATTTTTTGATATGTAATTAAATATGAATTTGCAAAAATAGTCAAACTGACATAAAACTTATGAAACTTGATAAATCAATTGTTTAATTAATTTAGTCATAACATGTGTCAAAATACTCAACAATTAATGGACTCTCAAAGGACAAAGCAATAATCAAAATAGTCAACAAATGGTCAATTGTCACAACTCAATCAAGATACTCTGTGTATATGTCTTTAATTGATTGGTAAGTCTCATATTGATTAATTAGCACACCTGTCTACTACCTTTGATGATTACCTCAAAATTACCTGAAACATGCCATCTCTGTGTATCATATATTAATACAAGGTGAGACAAAGGTGTGAAACTTTTTTTATGATTGTTTGCCCTTTACCTGGGGAGAAATGACAATTCACTGCAGGTATGTATGCAGATATAATTAACAAAGTTTTTTGTTTAAAAAAAGGCATTGGTAGATACATGTACATTTTGATTTAGGTGCTTACTTTTAAGAAAAGGAAGTTTAAGAAACAATCCATTAATTTTGTTGTTGTCAGTGATTGATTAATGAACATTTATGTTTAATCAGTAGCCTTTCTTACCACTCCTGCGTTCCAGTAAATTGAAGCCTCCTTTCTTACAAAGGATAAAATACTTCTAATATTAGCACTACTTCTTGGAGTACCTGAAAATAAAATGTCATATACAAAAGAAAGCTTTCAAAAAGCCATACTGCAATTTTACCAAAAGCAGAAAAATTATTATTTAATCAAGGTCCTTTTCTCATGTTTGTAGTATGAAAAATTTAATGTACAGACAAAATATTTCATATATCAAAGAAAATCAAGAATGCACTAGTCTGTAACAAAATACTCTAGAATATTATTATAATCAAATTGACTTAGTGTAGATAAAATCCCAGAAAGGGGCAAACTTATTAATTTTTACCCTTGAGATAAACTAAATTGGTCTGAAAATATCCTGATAATTTTTTTCCACCTATTTTCTTGATCTCCTGATTAAATTATGACTTCACATAGCCCAGAGGTAAACTGTCCTTTGGATAAACTAGTTCAATGCAGAAGATCATACCCACTTAGTAGACACACATATATAATAGTCCACTCAAGAGACATGTTATGTTATTTTTTCTCTGGAAATTTTGTGAATTTGGTCAATTTCTATACTTAGCAGTTGATATGACTTGTGGGTAAGTCTAAAAAAAAATCGTAATGTTGAATTTCTGCTTGTTAGTACAGATAATTTGGGAAAGAATTTTGCTTTTTTCCTATCCTTTACACTTTGAATATTGCTATATTTTATAGCCATATTCAAAGAGTAACGTTAAAGGATAGTAAAAATTATATATCGATGACTTGAAAGATAATCATAATGCCTCACTTGCAAGAGATCGCTTTTCAAAACATTTTTAAATCGTCGGTTGAAGTTTTTAAATCAAATTTTTTTTTATATTTTCCACTCAACAAACCTGGTAAAGCAGGTACATGGATCATTCCAATTATGAAAGGACTTTTAGAGAAAGGCATGTTTCTACTTTCTCTTTAAACTGGATGAGGTCAACAAAATGAATCTTCAATGCGCATGCCGATGAACTTCAACACGTGCATTACTAAAAATATATTAGCGGATTGTTTACATTGTATTCGTAATGTAAATATCGAAATAATTATTAATACTCTTACCTAAAATTTAACAACGGTATGTCAGTAATGTAGACTTTATGATCAAGTTACATATTCATCCATTATCACTCAAACTTTCATAAAGAAAATTGCATTAATTTCAAAGAATGTTTTTATTATTGCAAAACACAATGAATTTTTGACTGACTTTTCCAATATAAAAAACTCACATTTCGCTAATTAATTTCAAAGATTCTTTATTATCCATTAAACTGTTAAGAAACTAGTCAATGCTTCAAGGATTTTAAAAATATTTTTTCTTATTTTTTAAACGATTTTATTGTACTTCAAACTTATCTTTGGCGCGCATTACATTACGTGGTCGGAAGTCAAATAAAAAGCTTGAAAAATATTGCAATAACTTTTTAATTACTGACACGTAAGAAAAACAAGTATTTATATCCAATTCGAAAAAATAATAATTCTTTTGGCATGTCTGCAAATATCCCCATTTCCCACCCGAAAACCGTTGGCGGGATAGTATCGGTAGGGGGCATTACGAGCTTGTCTGTCGGTGAGAGTAGAAGTCATTCTATCGAGCTCGACTGTACTGACTTTGGACTTCTTGTGCAATGAATTAACTGGAAGCAACATGTAAGAAATTTACAGTTTAAGTCATATTGAGGATTTCATACATGATAGTGTCATGTTTCCTTGCTGTGATCATTTTCACGATTATAAAGTGCATGTAGCCCGACATTCCACGCCGACGTTGAAATTTGCTGTCGATTAGCTGGCAATTTTTTCCTTCATTTTGGTGATTTTATCGAAACATGATCTGTATGACATATTTTTTGAAGGATTTTGCGTAATGACCTAAATCAGCAGGTTTAGTTGGGATAAAAAATGGAAAATTGTTAATTTTTGGTTTGGCCTTAAAATGTCTTAAGAGTTACGGGAAAACAAAAATTGCATAATCAGTGCAATAATTTATCATGAAAAATATTTTTTCGGTAAGAAATGAATACTATTTATTTCAGATTTCGGCGATCGGCAGCTCGGCCGACAAGTATGTCGAGAAAAAGGTAAGATTTACCGCCTACCCCCGCGATTATTCCGCGCGCCATTTTGTTTGTTATGTGATCATCGAAGCGGTTTATGAATGGCTTGCTCGCCTATTTCTGTGATAGAATGTGTTATTTCTTTCAATTACAGTGCACGATTGCAGTCAAAAGTGAAAAGTGAGGAAGAAAGTTTTATGAAAATCAAAAGGAAAAGAAAGGCCGACGAGGTAGGGGTTAGCAACATTTTTTGTGCGCCCTAGCGGCCATGAACGCCGATTTCTTTGTTCATTCATTCATTCCGGTGTTTGAAAAGAAAAATGATTAAGTCATTCAATTTTATTACAGGCATTTGAGGAAGATGCTAATATGAATAATCGAAGCAAGCAGTTTAGAATAGAGGTATGCATTTTTCTGTCAATATTAAAATAATATTTTTTATAAGGATGGAAAACAGGCGCCATACGACCTAAATATTTACAAACTGAAAGAAGAAGCAAATTGTAAATACATTAGAAGCATTGTGAAATGTTTTGACTCTGAGGGATATTTGTATTTTAAAAGAAACTGAGTGAATGATTTCACAGCTTAGTGATCCAAGCTATGGTCTTAATTCGTTTTCAACTCAAAATGCCACTGTTTACAGTTGGAACCCAAGCCAAGAGATTTAATTATTTTTGTATTCTCTGTCAACTTCTGAAGTGGAAAACGATCATTATAACGTTAGAATGGCTTAGTTAGTACTGGTAATTCTAGATTTCAGAAGTCAATCACAATCGAAAACCCTGGAAACTCTGAATAAAAGTGAAAAACATGTTTTACAAAAATCCCTTTTCTTTTTCTTTTTAGAAAAAAAAAAATTATACATAATTTGACATCTAAGAATGGCAATATAATTTTTTTTCAGAACCAATGGATTCCAATATCAGAAAACTCCTCCATAACTACCTGTACCTTAGTGCCAAGTGAACCTCTTTCCCCAGAGTCTGACATTAAATCCTCCCCTTTAACTGTACTTAGTTCCCAGTTCAGGTTTAGAAATATTTGTACCCATGTATGTAGACTGTCCCCCCTGCCCACATTTAGTTGGGCAGATTCCCAAGAAGTATGGACGTTGATGCTTCGAAAAGAATCACAATATAATAGAAATCATCAGATGTTTGATCGCCATCCCACACTCCAACCAAGAATGAGATCTATACTGCTCGACTGGATAATAGAGGTAACTTTTGAAAATGATTGTAAATAAACAGAAATTTTAACAGCATAAAAACAAGTTGGATGACTGATCATGTTATACAGTTGTTATAGACACTAGTCTCAGAAAAAAAAGTTCCTGAAAAGAAAGTTTTGAAAATAAAAAATATTGTAGTAACTGTAGGGAAAAGATATTTTTGAGTGAACAGAGTGACTTAAATTTTACAGTCAGTGGTCCTATGGATTCTTAATACATGTACTATGTATCTTCAAAATGAAAATGACTGTTATCCCATGAAAGAATTAAAGTCAAGTATGATACTGTATCTCTTTACAGGTGTGTGAAGTCTACAGATTACACAGGGAAACATTCTACCTCAGTGTTGATTTTATTGACCGTTTTCTTAGTACCACAAACAATGTAATGAAACACCAGCTTCAACTCGTAGGAATTACAGCACTCTTCATTGCAGCTAAGTTAGAGGTACAGTCATAGAAACAGTGTTGGTGCACATCATTAAAATAAAACAAATAATAGCACATTTTCTTGGAGGATGTAAAATTTGGCATTTTATTTGCTCAAAGGCATGCTAATAATTTTGGCAGAATTGTTTTTGGTGGACAGGGGATTTCACAACTTTGCAATGTAAAACTAAGTAGAATATAGACTATTTTAGCAAGCTACTACTTAACTGGTAAAATAAACCAAAGTTAGCATCCTGCTAAAATAATCTGCTATATGGTACTTATTGCTAACAACTGTGAAATGTCATTAATGTCAATGGTCCTTCTCCCGAAAATCCTATGATATCATTTATATTTTATAGGAAATCTATCCACCTAAGATAGCAGAATTTGCCTATGTCACAGATGGTGCTTGCTCAGAAGCAGAAATATTGGAGCAAGAACTTGTCATTTTAAAGGTATGGTTTAGGTTTACCTACTGGTTTCACCCTTTTTTTTTTTTTACGTCATTCCATTGTTATCTGTCATGGATATTTTTAGACCTGACATGACTAAAAAAAAATATGATTCACAATTTAAAAATAAGCACTTAATTTATAAAATTCCACCAGTAGTTTGCAAAAACAGTTTGTGCTAGTTTCTTCTTTGTTTTGACTCAGTATTGATAATTATCCTATGATAATATCATAACCATTATGTTGAAGGCTTTGAAGTGGGATCTATCTCCAATGACCATCACAGCCTGGCTGAATGTCTACCTTCAAGTAGCCAACATAGACCACATAGTGGAGGCAGAGCACGGATTTGTTTTCCCACAGTATTCGTCACATGCATTTGTACAGATTGCAAGGGTATATCAAGTTTGACATTTTTAATGTGGAAAGGTTCACAATAAAAAATTGCGGCAAAATCTTGATACAAACACCTGATTTGTTTTAGAAATCTCTCTTAAAAATATTTTTAGCAAATTTATGGTCCAGAATTTATCAAATGACATGCTGTTTGCTTTTTATTTATCATTTTGTTTATCATTTTTGGTGAGAGAATGTGCTAAGATTCTGATTTGATTAACAGTTGACAGACTTGTGCATTCTGGATATCAGCTGTATGGAGTACACTTACAGCCAGTTAGCAGCTGCTGCCTTATATCATCTTACCTCAAGAGAAATGGTGCTGTCTGTTACTGGTAGGTATTAGCATTCTGTTTTGATAGTTGGAAAAATTAATCAGTTGGTTGACTCTCAAACTATGAACTGAAGTTTGTCCTGATATCGTGAATTGAAAATGATGTTTATTTAATGCATAATAATTTTTCTTCATTTGCTAACACATGGACTGCAGTGTAAATTGAAGGTAATGGAAAAAAAAGTTCCCTTGCTTGTTCACCTCTAGTAATGGTTTCAATGTTGTCATGCTTCTGAACATTTCATCGCAGCTTTTTAGCTCATCTGAGCCAAAGGCACAAATGAGCTTTTCTGATCAAAATTTGTCCATTGTCTGTTGTCGTCATCATAAACTTTTCGCAATTCTAACTTCATTAGAACCTTTGGACTAATTTCAACCAGACTTTGCACAGAGCATCCTTGTGTAAAGGGGATTATAGTTTGTTCAAATGACGGGCCACACCCTCTTTCAAGGAGCGATAATTAAATATTTGTGAAAAATTAATGACATCTTTTAAAAACCTTCTCAAGAACCACTGGACCAGAAAAGATGAATCTTGTGTGAATGCTTTATTGTGTCGATTCAAATTTATTAAAATCATGACCCCCAGGGGCAGTCAAAGTTTTAAATTGGAATATTAAGAAAAAAAATTTCTTGAGAACAACATAGCCATGATTAGTCATATTTATATTGAAGCATCCTCAGGTAGTGTAGATTCAAGTTTGTTTAAATCATTGCCCCTGGGATAGACTGGGCCACAATAGGAGATTAAAGTTTTATAAAGGAAAAATAGGAGAAATCTTAATACTTCCCTTTGTGAACAACAAATTTATTATTAGTCATATTGATATGCAAACATCCTCAGATACTTTAGATTCAAATCAGGGCCGGGAGAAAGTTGAGGCTGCAACAGAAAATTTTACAAGAGAGTATATAAGAAGAAATCTTTTAGAGAGTGGCAAGACCACACTTGATCATATTTAAAAGCATTAAAACATACGTAAGTTATGTGGAATCTTGTTTGTGTGTGTGTAAGTGTTTTTTTTTTGTTTTTTTTTTTTTTGTTTTTTTTTTTACGAGCTCTGCAGTTAGAGTTTGGCCAAAATCAGAGATCCGAATTTTATAAAATGCATGTGCACAGGGGAAAAAATTGTTGATCGTATTGATATTGAAGTATCCCAATGTTGTTTGGATTCAACTTTGATTAAATCATAACTCTCTTAGAGCTAGATTTTGGTCTACAATATGAAGTCTAAATTTTTATGAAATTAAAGGGGAAATTTTGAAAAAGAAAAAAAAAATCAGCTGATGAAGAACAGCAGGGTCAAAGTGATTTAGATGATCAATTGAGCATTGTGGCCCATGGGCCTCTTGTTCAGTAATGTATTTGTCTGAAAAAAGTCAATAAACCATCTATTTATTACAGGGTATGAGTGGAAAGACTTGGAACCATGTGTGGAGTGGATGGCACCATTTGCTCGGACACACATGGATGAGGGCTCTGTGGAGGTCAAGTTTTTCCCAAGCATACCAGCAGAGGACTCACATAACATTCAGATTCACTCTGTAGATTTAAATATGCTGGTAAGAAAATATCTTGCACAGTTCCTTATATTTTCTTTGATATTATGGCAATCATGCTAGCTAGTAAAGTTTATATTATCTTTGCACGATTAATCCACACTTCATAAGTTTTGGATTTTGAAATGAATTGATATATCAGCATTATAACACTGACAACTTTTTGGGCTTTTGTACTATATACTGCACTACTGAGTATGTGAACTTTGTAATTGGAGTCTGATAGTTGATATCGATCAGTTTAGCTTAGAAATACATGTATGCATGGAATTCAAGGAGATTTGCATGCTTAGAGAAAGGATGTCAACATTTTACATGTTGAAGAAAGTTTTAAAAACAGGATTTTGTAGGGAGTATAACATACCTTTGCAATATGCACAAATGCATGTGATGAATATAAGATAAGATATACCTGACTTTAAATAAATATTATCTTATACCTTTGCAATATGCACAAATGCATGTGATGAATATCATACATAACTGAAAAGTGCTGAAACAGAAGATTAAAATGACTTTGCTTCGTATGTTTTAGGAGAGAGCTCAAGAATTACAGGAAGAAATCCAAACTCTGTTGAGGGCCAGAAGTCCTGACCCCCAAGCTCAAGTCATCACACAATTAACCCCTCCCCACAGCGGCAACAAGAAATCAAATACCTCCAAAGCCTCCAACACTTCCTTTAGTTCCAGTGAGTTGGATTCTTTTGAGAAAGAATCGGGGGAGTTGAAGTAGGTGTGAATGGTGTATGAGAGAGAAAAGACTGTATAATTGAGGGATAATTTCAAAATGTGCTATTGTACAGAAATACTTGACAGTTAACTCAGGTTTTAGTGTTGAGTAATCCCTGATATCTAACTGATGATACAGAATCCTCAGGAAAACACTAGGAAGAAATCTTATATACTTTACTGCAGAATGAAGGGTATCCTTGTGTAATCTAGTGCTGTGTGTTGATTAACATATTTAATCTGTGTGGTCGGTTTAGAAATCGACATGTGTGGTATTTATTGTTGATACTTAGGGTGTGACTGAGTGCATTGTGAACTTATAATCCTAATTTAACAAAGCTGTATTCTTGCAATATTTTCATGTTTTGTTTATGTATTGCACCCAGTTTTTAAGGGTGGGGTCTTTACATTTCTCAACTAGTGGGACCAACATATTCTACATGTATAGGTTTACAATTGTGTTCACAAATGACTTCTAGGAACAATGTTTTCCATTCATATATAACCACTTTGTGTTCATCTCAATATTCAAAGAATTAATTTCAGTTGAAATTGAATTTATGCAATGAATCAAATTTTAATACTTGATATTATTTATAGTATCCTCTGTGCTCACATTGAAATAAGGCAATGAAACCACTTGTGTTCACATTTCCACCGAAAGTGTTCATTTTTATTAAGGTATGAATGTTAAGTGTGATTGTATACAAAACTGAAAGAGAAAGTAGGGCGATTTTGATATTTTTATGTTCTAATGTACATGGTATTTGTGCAATTTGAAGTTTCTTTTAACAGCTAACAAGTCAATTTATTTATGATTACCTTTATTGATAATGTTTGAGTGGAATGACTTTAAGTTCATTTGTATTGATTGAAAAACAGTCATATATTGCCTCCATAACATAGAGGTTTTTCTCAAAAATGACAGGATATTGTTGTCCAATAAAATACTGAAATAAAAACAGTGGTTTAGTTGGAAGAAGAATAGCAGAGGATCTGAACTCTAAAAATGAATTTAAGTTGATTGCTAGAGATATCAGAAGAAAGATAAAGCAAGATGTACTGATTTTCCCTGTATGACCATTTTTTTGAATGCAAGAAATGTATGTCATAATGTAATGGGTTGATGACCACACAAATTTGAACCAAAAAATTGTTTTCCTGTTACATGTTTTTCTTGCTTTGTAATGTTAGAACTTTTGTGTATTTTTAAGGTTTAGAATTATCTAATGTTTATGAAGATATCATGCATTTTATTTTTTTTTTCACCTTTTGTTTTTACTTTTAAAGAAATCTGATCTTCAGCAGCACATGATCGCATTTCAATCAACTTTATCAACTCCTGTATCAAATCATGTTGCTTTTTATAATTCATTATAAAATTCATCTGCATATAATGCAAAATTTAAGGGGTTTCTATGGGTCTCTGCTTATTTACCTTGGTGAATCATTATACTTCGTCCATAAAATGGATAGGGAAAAAAAGTAATCAGGTGCTTTACTACATTAGAAACACGGTGAATGGATGTCATAAGATTTGTTGTGTCCAAAGAAGAATTTCTATGAATATATTTAATAATTTATCCTCAGTAATTTATGATTTATCTGCCACAGATTTAAAGATGTATAATTTAGATTTGATTCATATTAATTTATTTTCTTTTTATTTATCTTTTTTTCTGTATCTGAGAATATATTATTATCAAAATATAGTGTGTACTCCGTACAATGGCAATATACTATATAAATATATGAAATATAGTCATGTGAAAGTCCGAGGATTAATTGACAATCCTTGTCTAAGTATTGTAGTAGCATTTTAAAGTAGATTTAGTATGAAAACAATGTACATTACAGAAATTCTACGTCATACATGCTTGTTACCCAAAAAACAAAGTCATGGGAAGTGTGAAGAAATCGGTCGAACATCCATTATTTTTATATACTCATACTCATCATGTAAATGTTCATCCTTAACACATTGACGTTTGTTATGGTTAAGTTTTTAAATATTTGACAAAGCAAGTTTTAGTCAAATGTATATTAAAAAAAAAAGATGCAATAAATGTTGTTGTAAATTACAATTCATTTGTTTTTGTTTACTTTGTGGATTTCAAGCTTAACATTTATGGATATATATATATATATATATATATATATATATATATATATATATATATATATATATATATATATATATATATATATATATATATATATATATATATATAGTCAAACCTCTTTATATCGAACTTGATGGGACCGGAAAAAAAACTTCAAGGTATCCGAGTATTCGAGATAACAAGGGTTAATTTTTTAAAGAATAAGTAATTGGGACTTCCAATTCACTTCCAAATATTCATGGTATTCGAGATATCAGTGTTTGAGATACCGAAGTTCAACTGTACCTGAACTTTACAATTTGTAGGTAGCAGTCAAGAAATTTTTGCTAAGCTAGCTTCATGTGCCAGGAATAAGAAACTGCAAATTTTTAATTAGAAAGCATTAAGGCCTAGATCATTCTGCTGTTAGGTGCACTGGATTTGCACAATTTTGGGAGAACACAATTTTTCTACAGCCACTGTATAGTTATTGGTGTTTTTGAGTTAAAAGGATGATTTAGTTACCGAAGGAAGCCCAAAGGATGAGGTGAACATTTTATTTTGAGGATTGCTTAATCACGGTATTGACCGAAAGAACTGCAATAATTTTATTATACAGTTAAATAATACAAACTATAAGCAAACCTCGCCATCTTTCACGATTGTTTACGTTTGTTAAAGTCCTACCCAAACGCAGCGAGAGAAGCAGGATTAAAATAAACAACCAGTTGTATCAATTTTGAATTTGATCTATTTTTTGGTCCAATTCACAAAATGTTACGTTCGTCTGGAAGTAGGGTGCAGGTGAAACTAATTGCTCGGTACAATGTTCACCTAGTAGGTCTCGTGGTGGTGAACATTTTACAGTGTTGAATCTCTGCCAGGCAGAGGGCTAGGAATTAATCATAAAATAAATATTTTTTCATTGGGTATTGAAAAGAATATGTTGAAGATCACCGTATGAAATGTCCTGCTAATCTTGTAACAGTGTATTCACATTGTTTTCACATGCCTCTCTTCGTTTCGACAGTCAGAAGAGCGATAAATTTTACGGAATATTTTCTTTTTTCCGAAGAAAAGTATTGGGTTTTCAATGAATAAATATAAAAAAAAACTTTTTGTCTGGCAGCAGGTGGAAACATGAATACGAGAGGGCAAAAGTTTAAGGTCAACTGCTACAAACTTTTTTCTAAAATGATAAATATAGACACTAATTATAAATCTATGTCAGTATCAGTAAAATGAAAAAGTTTAGCCCTAAAGCCCCCCCCCCCCCCGATTTTTCCGAGTTTAACTATCCCCCTAGATTTTTCAATAAGATCATAAAGTGATAAACATATTGTGTAAATTTATTAGGGTATTGGCAAAACGCGAGAATTTTGATCATCATAAAAAATATACATTTTCTTCACATTTCTTGAATTTGATATTAAAGATTGCATCATTTACAGCCAAAATTTATAGAAAAATGAAAACGAGCTTCAAGAAGAACGCACCGGAGTAACATTGAAGAGTACTTCCATTTATGATATGGATATTTGATTTTTTAGGGGGGGGGGGGAATAGCAGAGAGAATAATAAGATAATGTTTAATGAGGTGTCACAGCTATAAACAACATGTAAAATTTGTTATCTTGTTTTGGGGATTGTAGAACACCACGCGGTGTTTCAGATGTATGTATTTCATCAAGATAAGTCAACTTTATGCATGATTAATCTTTTCCTTTGTTACTTATACCCTTGAGATAAAAGACTAGATAAGATCATTGTCTCCTTGGAAAGAACTAGTTTAACTTTTGATTCAGCGTTGTATTTTCTAGAGGGCAGTTTTTGGTGAAAAAAAAACCGGATTTGCCACTCTGGATGCAGTGTTTTCTTGGGGGTGATGCTTGTTAAATATGACATTTCAGGAAGTCATAATTTATAATTGACATGCAATTTCCTTGCATTTGGCAAGACAGAGGTTTCAATTACATGAACATTCACAGTCGGAAAGACTTCAAGATACAATAATAACTATTAAGTGTGCGTCAGAGAACTTATCTTTCTTATCTAACACATTATAATTTACCATCCCCTGTGTCCCTTCTTATTGCTCATAGTCACACATCTTTGGTATAAGTATGTTAATAAATCCCTGTATATATGTCACATTTATTTATTTAGTTTGGTATGCAGCAAGGTTGATCAGTAAACCCTATATTGATTATGCATTCTCATAATACATAGCTTGAAATCTTTCATCGTTAAAATTCAAGGAAATAGTAAGAGTAAATTGTAATACATGTAAATACAAATCTTTAATAATTAGATAAGACTGAGGACATACTCGAATGGTTATATAAACACTTGGAAAATTGGATTAGATTGAGCATACACGTGAATATTTCCTGACAGAATTCGCAGGGGATATCTTTGACATTGCTCACTCTTTTTCCCCATATGTTTTTCTTGTCACAACCCGATTAGCACCTTATCCATAAGTATTTACAAGAGGCCATAAGATCATCTATGCAAATGTATGTATTTATTTGATACTTATAGTAAATACTGCTCATTGTACCTCCTTCCTGGCGAGCCCATTAATTGACAATATTTCCCTGTTGAGAGAAATTCTCTCAAATTTGCTGACATATAGCAATTTTATCGTCATTGGCTCTATCTGCAAAAGAAATACATTAAATCGAAAGGATATTGATCACATAGATGTATAGTCCAATTACATGTACATGTAGTTTTCAAGGAATCGGATATGTACAAGAAATACAGAATTCTTTTAGATGCACTTTTAGATGGCTTTCAACATGAAAATATATAAAAGCAACATTTCCATCTTTATTTCTGTTGACATCCATGAATTATACTATGATTTGAGAGAGAGGAGAGAGAGAGAGAGAGAGAGAGTTACATTTAATTGAACATTTATTTCATTAATTCAAACAGGAAACAAGGTTTAATATTTATTTTCGATTGATACTGATTAGTTTTTTTAATCACATTATGAATGCACATTCAGTAATAAAACAAACACATGTGTAATTTGTGTACATCAATAAATATTATTTTAACGGCAATTTGTAATCATTTTGTTTCATAAAAACCATCAATGTACACGTATCATTTATAATCCGGGTCATCTAATCGATTTCAAAGTACGCCGGCGCGGTTGATATCTCATCCTGTCGAGTTTGATCGTGATTGATTAAAGAACTACTGCTTGTGCAGCGATAATTCCATTAGATATTGTGATGTTTGTGTTACTAATAAGTGACAGGGGCATTATCTACAATGAATGACCCCCGACAGTGGGTCTATAAAAGTGTTTGTCAACCAGGGGCATTTTAACACCTTCACTTTTTCGTCAGTCAAAAGGTGTATACTTTCCAACTCGCTGGCTGTGGACTCTGAGTATTCGGAGCAATTCACACGGTTTTGTAAAGAACAAAATTAGTTCGTGTTGAAAATGATATGTTTCGTAACAATGTCTATACGACAATCATGGGGTTTTCTTACTTTCATGTAAACAAAATTCATTGAATTTAATCCTCCCTTCTTTTGCAGTGATCAATCTCTTATTGAGATATGTGCAAAATAATGAAATTAGTACATATACAAAATATAACATGTATAAAGCGAATTAAGGGGCTGATTGGGGCTTCCAATGCGCAATACATTGTGCAGTATACTGAAATAAAGCGTATTTACCCTTTTAAGGCAATTATTTTAACACACATTTATAAAATTTCACAAAATTAGTAAAACAGAGGTTAAAAAAAAATTACTGATTTTTTATACAAATTTTCAACTGATATAGGAAGGTGGATGTCATTATTGTGCTTATGACTTTATGATAAAGCGAAGTTCTCTTAGGGGATAACCATCTGATTCTGAAGGGAGTGGCTGACATAATGTGAAAAATACATAATCTGTCATCGAAAATATGGAAAAATGTGGAAAATAAATAATCTGCCCTCATTCGACAAGAAAATAAATAATCTGTCCATGTCTGTTGCTACTACCCCTCCCTTTTTATTCTTGCGAACTTTTTTTCAGTGAAGAAGAAAATAAATAATCTTGAAAATAAATAATACGTCCTTCACTTACTTGCATTAAAATAAATAATCTGACTCGAAAAAGATTGCCCCCCTTTTTTCAGAACCAAATGGTCGTCACCTAGAGGGGCTTATAAAAAGTGCTATAGATAAAAGAAGATGCATAAAATATATGCGCTTGATATTGTAAAAACAGGAATTTGAAAATCTCCCAGTTATTTTTGGTTATTTTCTGTATAAATCCTTAGTATGTGTCATATTTTGTAGCATTCCATAAAAACAGGAAAATTTCGTAAATTTTGCAATTTTTAGATGCCAGGCGGTAATGTTTCTACATGAAATAATGCACAATATAATATTTAAATACTTTGTACCTTTCTTTACAAAAAGGGACATTTTTGTCCAATAAGACGCTTTTTGATATCATGGATAACTGCTTCTTCAATACAATTCAAATGGAAATTGGAAATTTTCTTTTCATATCTTATCATCGGTCACCTACAAAATTACTTTGTTAAAAATCATTCCGATTCTACACACACGTACTCTGGAGTTGTTGGAGTTCCTCATAGACGGCATCTATGTAGTTTTTAGAGACCAGGTCTTCCAACAATTGCAAGTTGTGCTCCTTTATTAGTCACCTGTTTTTATGAATTTATATAAAAAAAAAAAAACTTCTACATAAGAAGAAACTTTTTACTATAGCCTTCAACTCGATATTAGATATATCGACATTTTTATCTATTAATAATAATTAATACTTTGATTCATATATAGACTCGATAAATTCCAGTGAACTCAAAATAAAAGACCACATATGTGTTTCATATCTTGATTTTTATTCGCTTGAGAGTTATAATGTTCTAAGTGCCAAAATGGTCAAAAATGAGTTATGCATATCGTTGGAATCGGCTCGCTGAGATCTATCTA